AAAAATGTACTAGAATAGCGCATGAGTCAAAGCTATTTCCGTTGTTTCTTTACAAATATGTCGCAAACAAGCTTTTTCTGTAATAAATCATTATTTCGAAGTTAAGCGACCAGTTGCTATAAATTCGATAAGCAAACACTTATTTTTTATATAAAAGCCTAGCTGATTAGTCCAACTCTAGTTGAATAATCAAGTACCTACTAAATTTTCCAGATGTGACACATATTGCGCACTTCAGACAAATGCGTTGCTAGGGCGTTGCTAAGGACTCTTTCGCATGTTTTGCTGCCTGGTTTTTGTTATGAAGTGAGGGAAGTGAGATGGACATGCTTTTTGATTTTTTTTTCTGGTTTTCTAGGACCGTCTCAATTATTTAACTTGACATACTTTTCTTGCTTTTTTATCCGAGGCTTTTCAATAATTGATAGATTCCAGCGTGGAAATAAAAGGGCGAGCAGGCCACAGGGGTAAAAGCAAGTCGACTGATAGTGAAATAAAAGGTAGAAGTGTCTGTTCCATTAGAAATTTAATGTGATGTGATGGAAAATGAAGCAACAGGATCAGACGCAAGAACCACCAATTAAACAGAACCAGCAAGCGCCATGCAATCAAAAAGCAGTCATGGTAACGTTTGATTAGCTTTCAGAAAACCTTGGAAGACGCCAGACGGTGAGCAATCAAGAGATCTTACTTGGATCTTACAAGACCAGTAGTTACTTGAAAACGAGAGCCGCCAGGAAAATCAGTAGATTCTTCAATGGCAGCACATCTCAACATCTATCTAGCAATTATTTGCACCAGCGAGGTGCTATCATTGTGTTTTGTGTCTGTATCCCTAACTGCTCAAAAAATATTTGTCAATAAATAAACAAACAAAATAATGCGTCTTTTTCTACTGAAAGTAAGTCCTCCAAGTGGCAGCCCGCTGCCATTCATAGGCAGCGGGATTCATATCCCGTCATTCATCCCCTGGGATGAATGACGGAAGGTACCTACCTAATTAATTGTCATCTATTCATTCCATTCATAGGCAATTCAGGGGCATCGATCGGCAGCGCCCTTACTGCATGGTACTGCGGATCGTCGATGGGTTTTTTTCTTGATGACTCCGACTCTGACTCAGACTTTCAAAAATCAACTCTGACTTTGATTTCAAATGTCGGCTCTGACTGACTCCGACTCCACAGCCCTAGCAGGTCTGCGGAGGCAATGGTTTTTTGGTGACTCCGACTCCGACTCTGGCTTTCAAAATCGACTCTGACACTGACTCTGGTCAGAACTGTCGACTCCGACCGACTACAACTCCGACTACGGAACCCTGAAAGGTCTGCGGAGGGGATCGAATTTCGGTGACTGACTCAGACTCCAGGCTTTTAAAATCTACTCTGACTCCGACTCGACGACTCAGGTCAGAACTGTCAACTCCGACCGACTTCATGACTCCGACTCCGGAGCCCTACTGGCAGCTATCACGCCAGGGAGCTGCAGATCGTATGTTCCGTGGCGGTTTATAGCATTAAAGTCGATAATGCGGCTGAATCGCACTATGAAACACCCTTATTGGCTGCAAGAACCACGAACGTTAGCGCATCGCCACTGGAAAACGTGACAGGTTATCGATTAATTGGCCCTGGATTTGGATAAATAACATGTTGATGATCATATTAGCACACATTTACATTACCATCTACCTCAAGGTTGCCCTTCAGGCGGCTCTAAACTATGGCAATTTCCCTATCTTCAACATGTAAATGCCCTCGGGCGTCCTCGTGGTGACGTAGGCATGGGAGTGCCAGGTTGGTAGGAACTAGACTTCGACGCCCCCTGCGTGCATGGTTGATATGCGACGAAGACCTTTCACAGCTTCTTGCATAGATCACTTGTGATCTCAGGTACCTAGTTGGCGTCTGAGTTTGAAGAAACTAATGTAGCAGGAGATTTCCATCCTGTATGGGCCGTATGGTGGTACCAGGACGCATCATATGAGGGAGCGTGCGTGCAGAGACTGAAGACGAGGGGAACCAGGTCCGCCACCTAAGGTCAATGGCCCACCCACTGTGTCGGCCTCCAGGCAATGCCAGGAGTCAGTAAACGCTTCTACCTCGGAGTTGGCTAAGCCGTCTAGACTTTGGCACCTTCCTAATTTCCAGCTTTAGGCAATGACATCTTCATCTTCATCTTCATCTTCGTTTTGCTTCTGTATATCTATACCGAGATAAAAACAGCACTAAGCTATGCCGGTATGCATGAATGATGACCTTTGCCAAATTGCTAGCCGACCTCCCGGAGTCCCGGAGTTGCAGAGACGGTTGACGAATGAGGGAGACGGATGGCATTCGTCGACTTCAGTTCAACATCAGCTGAGGGTTTGGACTGAGCCTGTAGAGTGCAGTGTGCAGTGTAAGGTCCGTTATCTTGAAAGGATACTGCTGGCAGCGGCCGTCACCAGGCACTGGTTCCAACTTCCATGACATGATATCTGCACCCGTCTCAAGTCATCAGCTGGTATAGAAGTGACACATGCCCAGAATTGGAGTCACGAGCAGTCGTGCACGCGTTCGGTCAGGCCAGTGCTGTCCGTCATAAGCAAAATTGCAAAACATATTTCTGTCATAATGGGGTGAGGATGGAGTTTCGGTGTTACTGTCCTGTGATGTTCTTGGCCAGCTTCCTTTCCATATGCTCAAACGCACATGCTGTGTGCGGGTTTGGGTGTTTGTGGGGGAGGGGCAAAGCTAAACTCATACAGCAGCCACCCGACGGTGGTGTAAAGCTTGCGCCCCTCCCTCATCCGTCTCTGCAACTCCGGGACTCGGGGAGGTCGGCTAGCAAATTGGCAAAGGTCATCATTCATGCATACCGGCATAGCTTAGTGCTGTTTTTATCTCGGTATAGATATACAGAAGCAATTGATAACTTCTTTATCTACTTCATGCCATATTTCCGTTAAAATACGGCATGCGAGTTATATGGTTATACTGTAACGGTTTTTAATGCCCCTTGCACCCAAATTGTATCGATAGGTCAATGTTCATGTCCTGGGGATTGGTCATTTCCTTTGCTGAATGAGACGACTCATTGAAAATTAGGTGGTTCCAATGAGAAAGCCTCGTTTGCTTTCTCATTGGAATTTTATTTTAGATCGCTGATTTTAGCCCTCTGACTACATAGCCATTCGTTCTAAGAGTTGCGGTCTTGTGTAGGTGGTAATGAATGTCTAAGCCAGAGTGAGTGTAAATGAGAATATGCTGTTTATTGACCAAAATGATATTTTTGGTGCTCTCTTTTACCGCTGCACGTCGAATATACCTACAGGCTACAACTAAAGCAATGTTGCACGGTGTCTAACAGCCATTAATACCACTGGAACACGTTGGCTTTGCATATTTATAGTCGTTGAAATGAAGTCATTTTTCCACTAAAATTAAAACTCCAATTTGCAAGCTTGCGACCCATAAAAGTGATCTAATATCGTTACTTCTGTCACTGCTATAGATCCAGAACAGAGCAAATAATGATAAAATCGACCCCGACCTGTTGGCATGGTAACCTTGTCCCAGCATAAAATAATGGTAATTTGGTCGATTTTCTGCTAAAATTGACATGTTCATTTTGAATTCGTGACCCCCAAAAATCGTTTGCCTTCGTTATTTTTGGCACAGATGGAATCAGAATAGACCAAATAATGGGAAAATTGACCCCAACTTGTTGGCATGGTAACTTTGTTCCAAAATTAAATAGTATTAATTTGGCCGATTTTTCGCTAAAATTGGCATTTTCAATTTGAATTCGCGACCCCTAGAAATGGTTTGATTTCGGTATTTTTGGCACAGATGGAATCAGAATAGACCAAATAATGGGAAAATCCACCCCCACCTAAAATTTGAAAAATTGACCCAAAAATGGGTACCCCTACTGCACATAAAAGTAAGGGTGGGTACAGCTACTAAGCATTTGAAACAATTATAAACAAAAACCACACAATGACAAAATGTCACGTCACATTTTATCATTCTAACTCCGACCGTCGCGACGGTCACATGTACCGATTTGACCGCACTGACACACCACTGGGCTGGGCTATTCATGGCCTGTCCTATAAGGTCAGCAGTGTACCGCACTCTGAATACTGCACCGACTAGCGGTCAGCACACGCTGATAAGGTCACAGAGTGGAACTGAACATGTTGCGCCCGGCTGCGGACACGGAATGTCCCGTACCGCGGCCTACCGAGCGCTGTCTGCAGCTGCAGCTGATATATCGTGACACTTTGTAGGTATCATTACTCCGTGACGCAGTGATAATTGATATGGACATACCGTCTTGATTAATCACTGCTGACTCGTCGCCCTTGAATCAGTTTTCGTTTAAATCTGATTTATAAAATAGAATAGCAAGGCTCATGGTTGGTGTTATTTTAGTGTTTAGAGCGGCGTTTTCGCGGGAGAATATCGGCAATAAAGTGTCTAGCGTTTCTAAAACGGGACAGTATATTGGTGGTACATAATTAAGTCATCACACAATGACGTCTCGATTACGACAGCGGGGAGGGATTCAGGAGGTGATAGATATTGATTGATGCGGCCAAGAATACATAGATGCTAAATCCAAATATTGGAATGCTGGGCACGACGACGGGTGACCACTGGCTGGTATACCTATGTCTTCTTTTTTTTTGTAGTAGTACATATGTAATGGTGTTCCCAGGTCAAGTGAATGTAAAGTTTTTTTGTTCTTTTTTTTTGTTTTTCAATGCACCCTTCTTCCGTGTTAACTTGAATGAATATTTTTGTTCTTTTTTTGTTTTTCAATGCACCCTTCTTTCGTGTTAACAGTATTGAATGAATATCCATTCAATAGTCACTCACGTTTGAAATGTTACTCACGTTTTGGTTGTGAGGCGTGAGCCTTGGACCACGGGTCTGGATAGTATGTAAGTGTCGTTCTGTGTAGTTAGAATAGTCAAATCCCGTCTTTATTCCACCGCGATCGACACTCACTTGACTCCCGAGACGCAGTCGTTTCCGGTACGCGGCGAGGGGCTCTGCACCGTGAAGGTACTCCTGCCCATGCCGATAATCTCCAGCGAATCGATGGAAGGCTTGTCCAGGACGTTGGTCGCCGCATGCAGCCGGTCATTCAGAAAACTGTGGCTCTCCTCTGGAAACAGATTGGGGGCTCTCGTCAGAGTAGTTGGGGAGCTTACCGCCCGAGGCGCTGCTGACCGACTGTAGGCGAGAGACGGCGAAGCCACGGCATGTAGGTGGGCTCATTGACTCTGAGCTGGGTGAATGACTGGGGAAGATGGCACGACGGTTGAGTAGTTTGGTCGGTGGTACTGGCCATCAAAGAATGACCGTGCTGATGACTTTTCAGGACGTTTCCATCAATCAAGCATGCAAATGCAAACTATGAATGACGCAAAGCAGCCTTAATGGCATCCGTCTGCACGCCAGAGCCGCCATTCAGCAGGCCGGCCTATGGCACGCGATCGTTGGCCATTCATTCATTCCAGTTCCGATCCGGATTTAGGTTCCGAATTCGTTGTGTTCAGTCCGGGTCAACAAAGCCAGAAAATAGTCGGCAGATTATTAGTCGAAATCAAAAGTGCCTCTATGAGTTCGTCAACTCATGATTTTCAAGCCGGTCAGGCCAAAACGGATCAAAAGGAGGCATTATTTCCAGTGGAATATTCGTGTTGCTGGATACATTTCCAGGGAGGCAGCTAAAAAAAAACCTCCCTACCGCATATCTTTGAATGAATCGTTTCAATCAACAAATTTATATGGATTGCAAGTCATTTTTTTTTCAGAAAGTATGCGGCTTCTTGAACGATCCTACCCTATTCACACGAAGGGTACCTAATCAAATAAATTTAGCTTGCCGCACTAAGAAACCCCATGGTTTTCTGAAGCACTCAATCTGTCAACAACTGTCTAGCGGCTAACAATAATTATATTTATCTAAGTAAATAAGCAAACTATAACGTTTTGATGGACAGCGCAATAGTTCATGATAGGAACCAACTTGATACTGCACCATGATGATCGCTATAATAAAGTGCCACTTTATTAGCACTGGACGTCTAAATGAACTATTTTTATTCCAAGCAAAATAAATTAAACTTGAATTCTCACAGCCGTACCAGACGTGATTGAAACATCGTAAGTAAAACGCATAATTGTCGCCGGCTCATCCACGGCTAGCCTTTAGCTGACCAACCGACGCTCATTAACTTACCAGGAAAACAAGAAGTCCAAGGAAAGCAAGAAAAATAAATAAAATAAACTATCGTTTATGTACCAGAAAACATATGAAACTGAAGAAAATGAGCAAAGAACACAAAATAAAAAATTGATGCCGAGGGTCAATACACCTTCATTCTTCAAGTACTAATGCACCGATATTGAGCTTGTGTTAGGATGTTCGACACACTACAAATGGCACTGCAGGCATTATTCGCACCTGCAGCATTGCCTAATTGGCCGTTTATGATTCAGCTGGTCACTGAGCAGGGTAATTACCATCCCCCAGCACTAATCCAAGTCGACGCAGCAGCAGACCGCTGGTAAGTGGTAAGGAGACTTCATACGTTGATCAATACACTGCCATTCGCAGCAGTCTGCCGCCATGAAAGCCGATCTGCTTATCCGCCTAACGCTTATCATCCCACCATTTTTTTTTGTCATTTACAATATTTATTATTTGTGCTGGCATCTTCAGATTTTGTTTTGCTTTTGAAAAGCCGCAATTCTTTAACTACGCTTCACGAAGTTCCGGCTAACAAGGCATTAAATCAAATTGACTCGACCTCCGCAGTAATCGCAATGCATTGCTCAATCTCCTTATATTTCATATAAACTCATGCAGCCGTTTCTAGCAAACATTGCATCACCCTCTAGCTCTGCTTATCTTCCGCTTTAAAAACATTGCTTATTTTTAATTTAAGTAAGACGCAGTAGCAAATCATACATTGGACAAATTGCTGAAAAAGCATTTAACGTCTGACTTGTTTCTTTAACCTGTCCTGCTCATGGGGTACGCTAATTTCATCAAACCTTATTTGCTACTTTTCCCGCACTGGCAAGAGACGACAGTCTTGTAGACAAGCCACGAAGGAAGCAAGTGGCTCATTTTATCAGACAAAGCTGCCTGAAATAAAGTTCTCGTGTCACTCTGGGTCACATTCACCGTAGAGTCCTGTACTTTAAGCCGCGGGCCGTGCCCCCGAGTGCAAATCACGTCCACGTAATGTGCCCGACGACGTGTCTAGAGAGGCCCACTCTCAGTTATCGTCAACTATTCGGCGTCATAAAGACACTGAATATGTGCCGGAATGAAGCCCAAGTCTCACAAGTGCCGCTTATTCCATGATGGCAATGTTTAGGATGCAGTTATTGTGGACGGGAATGTGGGCGAAGAATAAAAGCAGAATTTACTGAACTGCTCGCCGGCCATATGTGACGTCATCGGGTCGCTTTATTAATGCTCAGATAGTGAGCAGCAGACAGATAAACAGACAGACAGACCCGACCAGCCACATAGGGGAGAGTGAAGGGGAAAGAAAGAGAGGGTTATGAGAGAGGAGGGAGAAAGAAGAGAGAAAAAAAGAGAGGGAGAAAGAGAGAGAGAGAGAGAGAGAGAGAGAGAGAGAGAGAGAGAGAGAGAGAGAGAGAGAGAGAGAGAGAGAGAGAGAGAGAGAGAGAGAGAGGTGGGGAAAGAGTAAGGAATGAAAGAAAACAAATAATCGTGTGTGCATCAAGTAACACAAAATGCTCAGAGCACGGAAAGATAGGGCGTAAAAGTATAATTCACGACCAACGAGACATCATGAAAAACAGCTGATAGCCTGAGGCTGGCCATTTCAGCGCACAGTCTAGCCAAAGATCTGGACGCCCGCACCGTGCACACGGTACGGCGGTGATCTCAGCGGCCGCAGCTCCGGGAGGGCGGAGGGGGCAATCAGTCGCGTCGGGACCGGATTGGTATCGGTACCGAGCTCTCTCCGACCGATGAAGTCGCTCACTCGCCCACTTTGTCAGCGCTAAGAACGGCTCGGACGTAAATGACGCGGCCCAGACAGGCGGCGGTCGGACCGGGCCCGGTCGGCGGCCACAGCACCCCACTCGCCGCCGTCTATAGCCCCTTATGTAACGACGGACGGCAGTCCAGTGAAGCGGGCAGCGTGTCCTGACGTGTCTCCGCTGGCCCATCCTAATCCGCGCGGCGAGCCGACCGCCATATCATCGCGATCCTTAAATAGGCTGTTAAATACTTTGATTGAATATGATCGAGCATACAAAAATGCGTTGTATTGAAACAATAACGTGATGAGTTTTATCGGCGAAGCCGAGGGAAACAACTGTTCCAGAATTTGATCTTTTCTGTTTGGATATGAGGATCGGGTAATGCGCTTAAACTGCTCTTACAAGCTGAATACTCGTAATACACTTCAAGGCGAAACGTCAAATAAAATGGCGATACGACGCACAGAATCTGAGTCCTGCAAGTCGTTTCTAGCATGGATATGTCTCTGAATTTAGTATCCACTCACAGCGTGTCAGTGGCTGCGGGTTTTCAGTCAACGAAAAAAGAAAAGCGGGGAGTGAGGGCTATGGATACTTATCCGGGCAGACAAGACAACATTGGTCGTAACAAAGCAGGGGAGCGGGCCGTGGGTCGACAGGACAGGACGGGACAGGTCACAGGACAGCAATGACCGGAATAGAGCGGGAAGGCAGGACCAGGAGTAGCTACTCATCCGAACAGACGGGACAGTAGTGACTGGGACAAGAGAAGGGAGGGCGGACAGTGGGTTGATTCAAGACGGGACAGTGCTGGCCCGGACCCTGGACAGGACAGTAAGGACCAGTAAGGACCACAGGACAGTGTGTACTCACCGGGGCAGACGGGGCAGCAGTGGCCGGGCTTCTCGATCGGTTTGTCGCAGTAGGCGCGCGGACACTCCTCCAACGCACAGCGCACCGTGCTGTCAGACTGAAACGACAGAAACAGTTTCTCAGCGATATACAAGGGGACCAGCACCGGTAACCTGCGCTCTCGTCCATTAGAGCGTACACGTGACATCTTGGCACAACGACTCCGAGTGGCCCGCTGGCCGGAAGGCGGCGTTTTTGCCGCTTTGGCAGCTCTCCCAGCTGGCAGCGCGTCATGAGACCGTTCCCGCGTGGCTGTGCCGACGACTTCATCAGCCGCCGTGTGGCGTCGTTGTTATGACCGCGCCCCGACCCAGTGACGTCACGGCCCCCCATGAGGTCCCGCGGACTGGCCACCAGCCGGGCTCGGGGCCAGTTAAACGCTTCGTTAGATAACCATACTTCCTTCCTGTGGGCCGGCCACTCGATTCGGTAACGGCTGGCGGTGACGTCACCGGGTTAACGAGCGCCCCCGACGTGAGCAGCCGAGCGGAGACACTTAGCGGCGCACCGCAGACAAAACAATGGCAACCGGAACAGAACGAGGCGCAATCTGATTCAGACTTTGTGGAATTCTACCGTGTATTGTGGAGAACTTAAGAAACTACGCAAAACGCGTTGCTGACATCATTGAGGAGAATTTTTTTTTGGTAAACACGAGGCAAATGTATGTAGAAAGATAATGAACTCGGACGCTTTGTTTAATATCTCTTGGCTAAATCTTTTTTAATGGGATTGGCAATCTCAGCATGACTGACCCGTAGGCTGTACCGTTGGAATATACTATTTATCCGTGGCGATACACACCATTTCTCCAGCACTCACCTCACAGATGCACTGGACGCACTGCGAGGTCTTGGTGGGCTCGAGGCCGGTGTCGTTGGAGGTGAACTTCTCTCCCTGTCGGTAGCGGTGGCCGTTTCTGATGCACGGAGTGGATGAGGCTGAGCTAACGCGCACGTCCCGTGCCTGGGTCCGGAACGGCGGACCGCCCACGTCCGCCTCTGCCGAGTAGAGACATGGGTTAAAGATGAGACGAGACTCTGGCCATCTCACGTCTGCCACTACCGGGTCGGGGTTATAAGGTCAGAGATGAGAGCGTCACTTGGAAACAGCGTGTTAAGGTCATGTTGCAAGTAGTTTTTATTTAAACTAAGTCAGGCAAGTAAAATTTTGCTAATTAGGAATGGAATCCTAGAAAAGATGCTGTATCCTATGGGCGCAGGGTCAAGGCTGCTTGCACGGAATAGCTTAGTGGCTGCCAGCTGGCTAGCTTATTTATTTACGAGGTCGCTGGTCAGACGTCTAGACCGTCTGGCCAGCCTGGCGGCCAATCGTTCCCGAGAGCATATGACTGTTCCGTGCTGACATCGCCTCTACAATAACAAAAACAACAACAGCCCAAAGATCAAAGGTCGGTTTGGCCCCACTCCAGTACTGACATGACAGGTTAACCTAGCCGGCGCCAGCGTCTGCTTCGCCCGGACCGACAAGAGCTTGGAGCGCTATTTGTCGTATATCTTTGGGAGTTCAAAAGCCGTGGGTCAATAGCCATGCATACCAACCGCCTGGTAAATGCCGATAGTTGCTTCGAGTACAGTCTAGACACCCTAGTGTACAACTGTGCCATGATTTTGCAATAGTTGGCAGCTCTTGTGGGTAAAGAGAAGACTACTTTCAAGAACATTCCTCCAACAGCGACTAGGCTGCAGAATTCTTAAAGCGACCTATTTACCACTACTGAACCATCGTTAAACGTTCCTCAGCCCTGATCAACAGGCGCGATACTCCATGACCGGGCGATCAACTCACCGCTACAGATGTTACAGCACTCCAGGTCTTCCCGGGACGAGCCCCGACATGCCGAGGCGCAGTCAGTGTTGGTGCAGTTGAAACTGTTACCCTGAAACACGAGAGACCAGTCAGCACTGGTGCAGTTGAAACTGTTACCCTGAAACACGAGAGAAGAGTCAGTGCTGGTGCAGTTGAAACTGTTACCCTGAAACACGAGGGACCAGTCAGAGCTGGTGCAGTTAAAATTGTTATCCCCTTCCCTAAAAAAGAAACGTTAAAGGGAACTGAGCGCAAATTATCATTTTTCTCCAAAGCAGTTTTTGCTTTGAAGCGGCTCGATTAAAAAGGACGCACTTTGTACGATTAAATAATGTCATATCACAATCTGCCGTCAGTGTTCCTCGCTGACGCACATGTATTGCCACACAGTGTGTCGTCTGTGTGGCCGTCGGGATGGCGTAGGGAGCGGAGGGATGCCACTGACCGAGCGCCGCGCGCCTCGCTGCTGGAGTCGCTCCGAGCAGCTCGGGCCGCCGACCGACCGGCCAGGCGGTTGGACCGTCGGCCCGGTTATGATGCGATCCCACCCGGCCGTGCTGCGGCCCCAACTTTCAATGTTATGTAGGAGTCGCACACAGGCAGCCACAGTGACGAACCCCGCCTTCCGTCTCCAATCGTAAAACCACGACCATGAAAAAGTAAATTTCGTTCCGCCAGTAAAGTTTTACTTTCCACTTCCCGCTCCGGCCTTCTGCGTTATGTTATTATAACATTTGTTTTATGGTATCTGTTACATTATCACATGCCAGATCGGCCAAAGTTTACAGCTCTGACAATTTGGCAATGTCATGCATCGGGGGACCTAGTTGGGCCGAGAAGGGGAGGGCAGAGGGAGGGCAGTTGACAAGTTTTCCGACAGACTTCCGTGGTCCATCCATACGCACAAGCTCTACTTACTCAGATATTGAACAAAGAGAAATGAACTTTTGGTTTCCTGTTTATTACCTACTTCATAGAATAATGCCGTAATCACATTCACAACATAATATTCCCTCGTAAGAGCAGCTAACACATACTGAAAAGTTCATAATTTGGTCTCACTGTCTGGCCAAAATTAAGCACAGTTCTGCATCTGGCAACTGTCAGCGTCGCGTGGCCTGCTGCGTTGTGTATAGCTCTATTAGCCGCAGACAACTATTGAGTATGGTCAGCGCCCTAATGCCTATTACACTCTCACTCTGCTCCGGAGAGAGAGCGAGAGCGTCCCGACATTTTTAAGATAGCATACCATCACAGGCTCTCTCAGCTTTCATGTTGGAATCAATGGCCTGTAGAGCCATTCATGGAGTGTCCGGCCTCTCCCTAGCGAGCTGACCCGAGAGACCCGACTCTCCGAAACGCTGGCCCGCGACAGATGTCGTCCAAATCGAGTTAGCCGCAGCCTAATTTGACAGTAGCGGCGCGTGGACGCGGGGGTGGCGACTCCACTTCACCGGAAATGGCCAGAGCATGGGTGTCCGTGCGGGGTGCTGTAGGCAACTGAACAGCGACGCAGCAGACTACTAAACAGAGTCCGCAGACCACTGAACAGCCGTGGGGAGCAATTAACTAACAGCAGAGACTATGTATATGTAAAGACGGTGAACAAGTAAAGACCACAGGTCAATGGTCACTCTGCAGTGGAGGCCACGAAAACGAGAAAGACCAGAATGGTCACATTTACCTCCTCTCTGAGGTTAAACTTTTTATTGTTTCAATTTCAATTGTATTGTTTCCGTGTATTATATCGGTAAGAATAGGCCCACGAGTATAGTTGATTGCATGTTGGACGTTTTATACAACGTGGCAGAATAACAGCATTTACACTTGAACCGTCGTTGAGTACTGCCTAATCCTATCGACGTAGAGGGCATTGTGCGTGCTCACCTGGTGACATTTGCAGACGAGGCAGGTGCGTTCATTGCTTCCGTTATCCGAGACCCGGGGGTACCAGGTGTCTCCCGTTTGGTAAGTGGTGTTACCGAATCGACATGTTCTGTCGTTGGTCGGCATACCGCTCACTGAAACGCAAACAAAAAACGGACGCTGCGTCAGACATGGGCCGCACAAAGTTGTTACTGATCGCAGATGAAGAAACACCGAGTAGATGGCGCAGTAGTCTTTCTTTTCTCTGGTGTGCTTTCGCTAAGCCGGTATCAAGACATACAACAAATAAAGCCATGGCTATCTCTCATCAAGCCATCAACAATGCCGAGCCAGCTCTGCGAACAGAGTGAGCCTATCCAGACACGGGATATGTCGGGCCGTATGTCGACCGTCGGCGAGCGGCTGCTCGGCCAGACACCATGCGGACCGCTAAGACCGGCGATCTATCTCCACCGCGGTGCGGTTTCCGGCGAGACGGCGGCGCGGCTTAGTGCTGCTAACTATATACTGCTCGACAGCGCCGGCACCGTGGTCACTTGACTGTGAACTGGAGCCACAATGGGCGCCGGGATCACGGTCCGGATGTCCAGCCCACCGCCGCTCTGACAGCCGGCCACCGGCCGTGTACCGATGTCGCGCGCCGAGCTGGCCACACCGCCCTCCGAGAGGGAGGCGCTCTTCGTCTGGTGTTGATGCCATTATTGATGGATTTGGTCTAAATGTGAAAATACAGCACGCAATTCCACCTCTCTAGCCCCGCTGCGCTGTGGCGCGGACCGGCAGTGCCGCCCGCGGCTGGCACGTGTCGTGCGGCACAGCATACTTTCAGGCGTATATCACTAGTGCCATCTAGTGAGAAGCATGCTACCTAATCGACCATCCTGACAATATTCCTTCAGCGTTCGCCGGAGTTCGCCGGAGGCTAAATTGCAGCAAAAAAGACATGCTGAGAGACCCATAGAAGGGATATATAACTTCTAGAGCACTGGATAGTCACGCTTAGGGACAAATGCAATCGGAACAAACACTTCTTTTTCTATTAACGCTTGTCCTTTCCTCGAAAAACAGCGTGTTGATACAGCCCGCTATTTGCCCGCCGATTGAGTATCGCCGGTTATTTGATGGCGCCTGGCTGATCATTTACCCACATCCTCTATCATCTTCTTCCGACATCCGGTGACGTCATTGCTAGCCTATGACGTCACCACACGCCTATGACGTCACACATGACGTCATGTAACGCTATCAGCAATGTTGACAAACACTATGGAGCGAGAGGACTGTAGCACTAGCGGCGGCGGCGGCGGCGGCGGCGGCGGCGACAGGATCGATTGGGTTTGTCTCGGCCCGGGCCAGCCGGCGGGCCACGGCCTGCACCCGGCCGGCGGAGAGGGCGGGCCGCCGCCGCCGGGTCGCCGGGTCACTGACCTGACCCGGCGCGGCGGACGGCGCGGCGGCCGACTACGAGTGCACCAGAGGCGTGGTCTGGACACATAGAGTCGTGGGTTAGTGAGGAATAGCTTGGGATAGGTAAAAGTTTGCGAAAAAGTATGAGGAATATACTTTCTGAAGACTTGCAATTACTCCGCCAGACATTGTCCGCACATACTTGTACCAGTGCAACGGTAACCCAAATAACACACGCTAGGGCCCCCATCACAAACTATAATAACGTAATCTCTGTATGACGCCATCAGCTCTGCCGAGTTCAACGATTCCCTCTATCCCCGGGGTCAGTGCGGACCTAGTGGAACGATGAGTCAGTCGGAGCTAGACCGCCAGTCTGACCCCGTCCGAGACACAATCGACAGATACCGCGCCATTGATAACGTCGAACGGGCGTCAGTGACGGTAACGACGCGCCGACGGGCGTGATCGAGGCGAGACTGATGCGTCCACACACAAACACAGGCTGGGAAACTGTGCTCACAGTGTCCGCGTGTTTTGTGGGATTGTTGATCGTCCGATTAAATCTGTAGACGATCGTGATAAAAATTGTGACTAAGGGAACTAGACAAGCAATAAACCTCTTCAATGCACGCAAATCATAGGTCATAGAAATAGCGGCATGAGACGTTTTTAACGTTTTACGACGAGGAAATGTATTTACTAGAAATTCATCTCATCCTTCTTTTCTCACAAAATGTTTTATAAGGTAGGATGAAATACAGCTATTTTGTTCTTATGTTAAACGATAAAGCATACTTTTTACTTTAAATACTGGTCCCGGAACTACATATATCGCTGGATAATCAATACTCAACCAGCGAACTTTCATCCAATTCGCTCTGAGTGACTTCCTTCATTCCACAAAACACACTCATATTAGTTAAATAAAAATTCGATTGCTGTGTAAATTAGAGTGTCTACTTAATGCAAAGGCCCAATAACTTCTCATGACGTTGTCATTTTCTTCCAGCAAATTCGGACCGAGTCATTTGTTTCAGATATCTTCAAACAGCCTCTTCCTGGAAACAAACGGTGAATATTTCTAATTTATCACAGCAATCGTTCTTCAAAACGGACTTGCATTGCTCAGCTGTATGCATTCTGAGCGGCCGTGCGGATATCTTTCGGCCATTGTATCTGTTTACGCCTGCAGTCCCGGCTGCCAGTTGCATCAGGCGGCCGCGCCAGTAATCTGGCAAATTGGCGACGACTCGGCGGCGCGGTCCGGGCCGGCCTGCAGCGGGCGACGACGGGTGTCTGGCTGTCGGCAGAGAGGCTGAGCTGCCACAGCTCCCGGCCACGATGCGTTGTCATGTGGCAGACGAGTCGAGCTGCAGCCGCCGGGTCGGAGGGCGCCCGGGCCGGGCCGGGAGGGGCGTCTGCAGACCACCACCCCGGCCGCAGATTCGGTGGCCCGGCTGGGGGAGGGGGGAGGGGGCACCCGGCCCGTCTGACCGTCTGGAACCAGCCCGTCTGGTCGGCCCTTCAGAGGCGTTCTGCGAGACCTCTGAGGTGATAAGTGGCGTTGAGGTGGAGGCAGAGGTTTGGACTTGTCAGAATACCTGTCGGTTACCACAACGGATCTCTTAGCACCCCCATGCGTGAAAACCGCATTATACCCAGCTCAAGAAAGCAGTAGCTTAGGTCGTGATCTCTGAACTTCTGTTCGTATTTTCGGGCCAGCTCCAAGTCCACGGGGATTCTCTGCGGGATATCGGATCCCGTTGGTTTCTAGAGGCCCGCCTGGGTGGCGGAGAGTGTTGCACTGTTGCTGGGCCAAACTTTCATCCTGGAAAGAGCCAGTGCCGGTCGAGACGTCCTGTGTCGTCACCGACCCCCACCCAGGCTGGAGTCAACCCGTCACTGCCAGGCAGCCCCGGATTCACACCACGAGAACGAGGTCTTTTCTTCAAACATACCCCAGTGAGGTTCGCCTCGTGTTTGCCTACTTGAAGTCTGGGTATAGCCGTACAATCCAAGTGCCCCCTGTCGCCCACGTAGCGACAGGGGGCAGACGAGATTCGAAAAGTCCAATGTGATTTGGGCAGATAATGTTCGATGTTATTCGCTTGGTTTTGATGAGAATCCCGTACAATTACAAAAACGTGTCATGAATTCGACCTGAGTAACGTAAATTTATTGCGTAAATTATTGCGCGTAAATAAATACGTTATATTTATAACGTAAAGTATTGCGCCAGTCTCATTTCGAAAAGTAGCGTCGCCTGGCATGATCTGTTGACTTGTCATCAGGTGATTAGTCGCCATGTGTTTGTGCGAAAGTTAAGTCGAAAAAGAGTACCAAAAGCCGTCAATTGGGTTATTTAAACACCTACCCCTTCGCAAGGTGCCAATAAGATGGGACCCAGCCTGGAGCTATAGTTATTTGCTGTTTATTTTCCAAGAACCTGATATACCAATAAATATGCTCACAAGATAGTGATTCTGCCTGCAAAGTTTTGTTTCCAATGTGCGCACAGACCATTACTGTAATTTAAAGTGCTTCACCAAACAAAATAAATCGGTTTCAGCCCATTCCAAGTATCCAAAACTGCACTCTTCAACAGGCTATTGGCGGATGCCGACTAGGTAACGAGCCGTTACTCACTGCCACCTCATGGAAGTCTCTCAGCGCTCAACAAACACGCGCCCACATTCGACCATTCCAGCTGAGATCCACCCCTTCCCCAACCCCAGCTAGAGTTTCCTCTGGAGGAATCCTCTGCTCCTGTGAGCAGGGCAGCGGCTCCTTCCATCTCTAACCATGAGATAACCTAACCACACCCTCCTCTTGCCACTCCCTCTCCATCTCCGTACAATAGCGACTGCTCTCATCGCTTACGTATCCGTCTGCTAGGATGGATATCTGGGGCGGGAGTGGCGGGCGAGGGTGGCGGGGGCGGCGGCAGGGGGGGGGTCGGACCGTCAGACGGGCGTGGGAGGAGTGGTGAACATGGCGCAAAACGACGACGTGGGCGGAAACGGATGAGCGTCGCGAGCCTGGCGCGAAAAACGCCCGCCAGCCGTCCGCAGCCGGGCGCTGACTGATTGGTGTACTCGCCCCGGCCGAATCGAACACAACCCCAACCGGAAGCCAGAGCAGGAGAGGAAGTGCAGAAACACGCGGTGGGAGGGAACACATGAACTAATGAAAATAGAAATTAGGAAGAAGAGATGAGGAGCGAGGAAAGGGGATAGAAAACAGATAAATAGAAGAAGTTGAAGACAGACTTTGAGCTGAAACATTATACATCTCGAGATACAAAGACTTTTGATGAAAACACATTCGATTTGCCAAGATGCAATCTCCCATGATAGCCTAGTGCCTAATCAAGAAATTATGAAGATAAAAACCTTTATAGCATTTTGAGCTTTTGAAAAATGCAAAAAAAGGTAGTAAAAAGGTGCCCCGACCGCCATGTCACCTGCACAAAACAATGCCTCAGCGACTAATTTATGGCCATTAATTATTCACAAGCAGTTTATTTTTCTGGGTAGAGATCCAAAAGATGCACTTGGTCTGGGTTCCCCTAACATCGTTTTGCTGTCTAAAGCAGCGTTTCAGCTAGTGGCGTCTCTGGTCCCTGTCTTGGCTAGCCAGTGGCCATACCGCTGTAAAGACGGACCCGCCGACTTAAGCCACGCCTCACGGCAAAGCCGTCCGCTTATAGCCCCGGCCAAACAAT